TGATGGTCTGTCTTCTTGGTGCTTGGGGGTGGGGGGGGCAACAGTGTGAGGGCTTCTAGTGTCCTGGCCCCACTGCTGGACCTCCTGATGGCACCTGGTGTTTTTGGCCACTGTGTGACTGAGTGTTGGCCGGGATGGGCCATTGGCCTGATCCAACATTGGCTTATGTTCTTCTGTTCTTAATCAGCGTAAAGAAAAGTTGGTTTTTGGAGGAGATGAGCTACATTGGAGTCCAGTAGCACCACATTTTCCAGGGAGGACTTTCCCAAATCAAAGCTCTCTTCTTAAGGTATCTCTGACTCTTGAAAGCTCCTACCCCGAAAAGCTTGTGGGTCTCTCAGGTGCTGCTGGACTCGAATCCAGTTCTTCTGCTGTTGGGGACTTGTGCTGTATTTCTCTCTTCTGTACTTGTCTCCACTACACAGGGGCCTCATCTGCCTTGCACTGATGTCTTCGGGGCTCACTTCCTATACCGACATCAGCGAACTGTGCCTGAAGAGCACAGGTGACGCTGCTGCCGGTTTGGTGTAGTGGTTAGGAGTGCGGACTCTAATCTGGGAGAACCAGGTTTGATTCCCCACTCCTCCACACGCAGCCAGCTGAGTGACCTTGGATCAGTCACAAGTCCTTTCAGAGCTGTTCTCTCACAAGCAGTCCTGGAAAGAGCTCTCTCAGGCCCACCTACCTCACAGGGTGTCTGTTGTGGGGAGGGGGAGGGAAAGGAAACTGTAAGCCCCTCCTTTGGGTAATGAAGGGTGGGGTATCAATCCAATCTCCTCTTCCTCTTCTTCCTCTTCTTCCTCTTCTTCCTCTTCTTCCTCTTCTTCCTCTTCTTCCTCTTCTTCCTCTTCTTCCTCTTCTTCCTCTTCTTCCTCTTCTTCCTCTTCTTCCTCTTCTTCCTCTTCCTCCTCCTCCTCCTCCTCCTCCTCCTCCTCCTCTTCTTCTTCTTCTTCTTCTTCTTCTTCTTCTTCTTCTTCTTCTTCTTCTTCTTCTTCTTCTTCTTCTTCTTCTTCTTCTTCTTCTTCTTTTACTTACTTTCCCAGTTTTTTAAAATATATATATATATTCAGGGTTTTTAGTGTCATTTGTAAGTGGCTACTATCTCTGCTTCACGGCATGGATGAAACAGAGCGCCTGCCAAAAGGCTGATTCTGAATCCATAAAGTTCGTAATGAAATTGGCAAGCTGCCGGTTGCTTTTCCATCCTTCTTTTATGCTGGGGTTTTTTTTCAAACTGTGATTGGGTTTGTTAGCAAGATCATTCGTGGTGGGCCATCTTCCCAAGCGTGAGAGTTGACGGATGCAGCAGTAGAGAGCCACTTTGGTGTAGTGGTTAGGAGTGTGGACTCTAATCTGGGAGAACCAGGTTTGATTCCCCACTCCTCCACATGCAGCTGCTGGCGTGACCTTGGGTCAGTCACAAGTTGTCTCAGAGCTGTTCTCTCAGGAGCAGTCCTCAAAAGAGCTCTCTCAGCCCCACCTACCTCACAGGGTGTCGGTTGCAGGAAGGGGAAGGGGAAGGAGATTGTAAGCCGCTCTGAGACTCCTTTGGGTAGTGAAGGGTAGGGTATAAATCCAACCTCCTCCTCCTCCTCCTCCTCCTCCTCCTCCTCTTTTTTTCTTCTTCGAAGACAACTTGCTTTCCCTGTTTGTTTTCTAAATGCAGGGTTTTTAGTGTCCTTTGTAGGTGGCTACTCTCTCTGCTTCATGGAATGGATGAAACACAGCACCTGCCAAAAGGCTGATTCTGAATCCATAAAGTTCGTAATCAAATTTGCAAGCTACCTTTTGCATTTCCGTCCTTCTTTTATGCTATTGCTTTTTTCAAACTGTGATTTGGGGGGGGGGGATTTGTTAGCAAGATCAGTTGTGGCTGGCCATCTTCCCAAGCATTAGCGTTGACGGAGGCAGCGGTACTTTTTCTCCCTTTCTCACACAATACAAGAACTCGTGGGCACTCAATGAAATTGCTGAGCAGTCGGGTTAGAACGGATAAAAGGAAGACCTTCTTCACCCAAAGAGTGATTCACACATGGGATTCACTGCCACAGGAAGTGGTGGCGGCGACAAGCATGGACGGCTTCAGGAGGGAATTGGATAAGCACTTCTAGCCGACAGTCTTAGAATGGCAGGAAATGCTGGGAAAGATTGCCCGTCAGGCTTTGTGGTTAATGGGAAAAGAGGAAGCCCTTCATCGCTTTGCTGCTTTGACTTCGTCTCTCTGAAGTTACTCTGTGCTCACGGGTCACTGTGGCTCGCAGGGTATTGACCTGGGGGATGTTTTCACATCGTGTCTTTTCTCAGCGTGGGATTGTTAATGATGGTCTCCGCATTGTTTCCAAGGCTGTGAACCACTGCATGCCTTTTGGCCAGTTTCGTTACATTTACATAGCAGTCTCTCAGCTGTGAGGGGGGCGTTCTTTATACCCCATACTGATGACTGAGGGGTGACACGATCGAGGTTTACAAGAGTCTGCATGGGATAGAGCAGGTAGAGAAAGAAGTCCTTTTCTCCCTTTCTCACAATACAAGAACTCTGCTCTCCCACACACGTAGGGAACACTTTCCCTATGAGGAAAGGTTAAGGCGCTTAGGGCTCTTTAGCTTGGAGAAACGACGACTGAGGGGTGACATGATCAAGGTTTACAAGATTCTGCACGGGATAGAGTAGGTAGAGAAAGAAGTCCCTTTCTCCCTTTCTCACAATACAAGAACTCGTGGGCACTCAGTGAAATTGCTGAGCAGTCGGGGTTAGAACGGATAAAAGGAAGTCCTTCTTCACCCAAAGAGTGATTCACTCATGGGATTCACTGCCGCAGGAGGCGGCGGCGGCTACAAGCATGGACGGCTTCAAAAGGGAATGGGATAAACATATGGAGCAGAGGTCCATCAGTGGCTATTAGTCACAAGGTACAGACAGGAACTCTCAGTCTAGGGCAAGTGATGCTTTGTCTTCTTGGTGCTTGGGGGTGGGGGGTGGGCAACAGTGGGAGGGCTTCTAGTGTCCTGGCCC